GCATGGCAAGATGTTTTCAAAAATGATAGTTCTTCCCCTATTTACTTTTAAAGAATTACATGAAATGGGGTTCAAATAAGAAGATGCCATCAAACAGGAATCATCATTGACGACAAAGAGTCAATACGAAAGACCTTCGGGCGTAGTTCCAATGCCAACACAACTGTGAAGCCCTCTGAAATCAACTTGGTTACCACCACCACTAAAACAGTCGACCCTTTGCTCATGCTGGCTCGCAAACAACGAACACAACCGTGCCCCAACCTAACATTCTCCCCTCTCCATATGTCACTCTTTAAAGCAATGAAAGTCTTGACAGAAAGAGGGTATTTGAAGCCTTTGGACCCCCAACTCTTCCCGAATCTCCCAGCCGAACATGACCCTACCAAACACTATGCTTTCCGCCAACAACCAGGACATGACACAGACCGTTGCTTTCATCTCCTTTATGAGATCCAAGATCTCATGGACAATAAAGTCATAGCTCCCCACAACCACCAAAACCCAACGTCGCTACCAACCCATTGCCGCCCCATGAAGAGTTCCACCACCTCCTCATCTTAACCTCATCCATACACTTCATCACCCCTTAACCCCAATATTTATATCACACCTATCCATTTACCAAAACCAAAGGTATATATTCCTGAAGGAACTGAGTTGTGCATGATGGATGCACCTCTAACCAAGCCAAAACTAAAATCCCTATGGTGGTAGTACTTATGCTTGAGGCTGGAAAAACTATCAGAGAAAAAGTATTATCCTAGCCGGTATATTGTTCCCAGTGGTCAACTAAAGCTTGAGGTTGATCTACCTGACTCATTTTCTATCAATGTTGTCAGAGAAGATGTACTTGAAAAAGGGTTGGATGATTTGGCTGAGGACTTGGCTAATCTCCATTTCTTTGAAGAATTAGACATGGGACTGTGCAAATGGGATGGTGGGAACCGAAGAATTACAGTCATGGTTGGTCAAGCAGTAACGAAGCTGCTGATGAGGAAACTGAAAGAAAATGGGATGAATTGAGACTTGATTTTGAAAAACCTGTTGAATGTGGTAAAGGAACGAGTTCCAGAGGAAAAGAAGAAGTACCAGAAAGCCATTCAGAGCATACTTTGGAATGATTCAAGCAACGCTAGATAATTTCCTTTCAGTCAATGAAGGTGAATGGTGGGACAATAATGACCTACAGGTCACCATACTGATGATGAACAGGTAAACATGTGCTGGATAGACTTGGTATGCATATGAAATTGATCATTTGACCAGGAGTGGGCGCTACTTCAAGCCTCCACATCTAGACCAATGAGAGCCATCTGGGAAAGATAAAGAGGTAGAAAAAGAGAAAGAGAAAGAGAAAGAAAAAGAGAAAGATGTAAAATAAGACCTAGTTCTAAAACAACTGAAAAAGATCTAGGAAAATATTTCCATTTGGGGTCTTCTCATGGCTTCCCAAGAACACCGACAAGCAATGTTGTCAGCCTTAAACAAGGCCAAGCTATCCATTGAGACAACGCCAGAACAGTTAGTATCTTTCATCATACCTAGAGACACGACCCCTATGTTATCATTTACAGACAAAGAGTTATCACCTGAGGGGGTTGACCATAACAAGCCTTTGTATGTTGCCTTGGAGTTAGAAAGAAGTGGATTCGAATATTTTGGTTGATACCAGTTCAGCCATTAATGTGTGCCCAGCAAGATTGCTTATGCGATCGGGTTAAAGCCTGCTGACTTCACGCCAACAAGCCAAGTTATTCGGTATATGACAACACCAGCAGGAATGTTATGGGGACTTTCAACGTCCAGATATTAGTTGGTCCCTCTGAGCATGAAGCAGATTCCATGTCATGGATGCCCTGGAAATTTCAACCTATTATTGGTAGGCCTTGGTTGCATAAGATAGAGCGGTGTCATCAACCGTACACCAGTTGGTGAAGTACCAACATAATGGACGGATTGCCACAGTTTTTGGTAATTCTACGATCAACCCTCCTCAAGAATCCCAAGCCAGTACTAGAAGTGCAACATGGGAGTGAAATGTTTTTCTCTCGAGTTTTACCTTAGCAGAAGCATGGCTAGTGTAGATAATATGGGGAAAGAGGGGGGGTACACATCTGAGTGCTCAGTTAGTCTATATGATGAACAAGCTAGGATACATCCCAAGATCTGGACTGGGAAGAAGTGGCCGACAAGGCACCACAGAGATAACTAAGGTAATCCATAACCCACATGCATTTGGCTTAGGGTATGAACCAATAGTAGAAGACTGGGAGAAGAAAGGAAAGGAAATGAGAGAGAGAATCAATGCAAAGAAGACAGGAAAGAAGTATAAGCTGGTTTATAGGCCAATCCATGGGACCTTGAATGGATGCTTTGCCCACCAAGGAGAAGACTTCCCTTTCTATGGTTTCCTTGAGCCCTGGATTGATCAAGTGGAGAGGAAAAGATACCCTGGATTTGAGATCTTCTTTGATCATCAACTCTTCGACAGTAGCGAGAAGTGGGTAGATCCTGGTATTGACATCGGACAAGACAGAGAAGTCAACTCAGAAAGCAGCACAAAGGAAGTCATGGGTCTAACCTGGCTGATTTACTGAAGAATCACATACTAGTGCTGAACCGATGAATTTGAGGGATATGACCATTGCCGTTATCAGGGAGAGGTGTCTGATGACTGCTCAAGCTTCATCATGGATGCATGAATGGCTCACAAATAAATTGGCATTTTGAAAAGAGTTGTATTGAGAGTTTTGAATTGGTGTTGAGTCTAAGTCCGGTGGGCCTGTGGGTTGGATGCAGATTAAAGTTTGTTAAGATGTCTGAGTCTTCTTTTTCTTTCTCTTTTGAGTCTGTTGCAACTTGTGAGCCCAAGGATTTGAATGGAGATTGATTTTCACTTACTTTTCTGTGCCCATAGTTCATAACATTAACTAAAATTTTCAAGTTCTTGATAAAAAGAAGAGGAAGAAATTCCTCGAGCTTTGAAAAATTTAATCGACTGGGAGGAAGAAAGGCGTGCTAAGCCATTAGTGGATGAAATTGTTTCGGTAAATGTGGGTACTGAAAAAGATCCTCGCTTGATCCAAATTGGTTCTACATTGTCTTAGAGGAACGTGAAACATTAGTTGCTTTATTTAAAGAATTCAAAGATGTTTTTGCATGTCCTACGAAGACATGCCAAGAATTGACCCTGAGATTGACAGCATAGGATCCCTCTCGACCCTGAGCCCGACCTGTCAAGTAGAAGCTTTGCAGAATTTGTCCGGATTGGGCCTTGAAAATTAAAGAAGTGGTTACCAAGAAAATCAATGCTGGTTTTTGCTCGTATCAGAATATCCTACTTGGTTAGCCAATATTGTGCCAGTTCCGAAGAAAGATGCAGAATTCGAGTTTGTGTTGACTTTTGGGATTTGAATAAGGCTAGTCCGAAGGATGGTTTCTTATTGCCACATATTGACGAATTGGTAGACTTCATTGCAGGGCATGCCTTACTGTCATTCATGGAGCATTTTTCAGGGCTTATCTCTCTCTAAAGTGGTCTACGACCGCAAAAGGATGGTCTACAAGACCTCTCCCTCCCTCCAGGGAAGGGAAACAAGGCTTGGTCTGCAAACCGAGACGAAACACAAAGAGTTCAGAGGCCCAGAGGCAAGGCACTTAGCCGAAAACTCCGAAAACTCGAAACGAGCACAAACATGCGCAATCATCCAGCGCTCAATCGAGCAGGCCTGAGTCTTAAGATCGGTAAAAAATGGGGGGTTCTACAATAGCTCCCCCACAACCACCAAAACCCAACATCACTACCAACCCGTTGCCGCCCCATGATAGAGTTCCACCACCTCCTCATCTTAACCTCATCCATACACTTTCATCCACCTTTAACCCCAGTATTTATATCACACCTATCCATTTACCAAAACCAAAGGTATATATTCCTGAAGGAACTGAGTTGTGCATGATGGATGCACCTCTAACCAAGCCAAAACCTAAAATCCCTATGGTGGTAGTACTTATGCTTGAGGCTAGAAAAACTATCAGAGAAAAAGTATTATCCTAGCCGGTATATTGTTCCCAGTGGTCAACTAAAGCTTGAGGTTGATCTACCTGACTCATTTTCTATCAATGTTGTCAGAGAAGATGTACTTGAAAAAGGGTTGGATGATTTGGCTGAGGACTTGGCTAATCTCCATTTCTTTGAAGAATTAGACATTGGGACTGTGCAAATGGGATGGTGGGAACCGAAGAATTACAGTCATGGTTGGTCAAGCAGTAACGAAGCTGCTGATGAGGAAACTGAAAGAAAATGGGATGAATTGAGACTTGATTTTGAAAAACCTGTTGAATGTGGTAAAGGAACGAGTTCCAGAGGAAAAGAAGAAGTACCAGAAAGCCATTCAGAGCATACTATGGGAATGATTCAAGCAACACTAGATAATTGCCTTTCGGTTAATAAAGGCGAATAGTGGGATGATAATGACCTACAGCT